AAGAAAGAAAGAAAGAAAGAAAGAAAGAAAGAAAGAAAGAAAGAAAGAAAGAAAGAAAGAAAGAAAGAAAGAAAGAAAGCAAGCCTAATAACAGAGAGTCTACAGACTAGTGGAAAAAAAATGCATTTTATTGCTTCGTGGTAAATAGATGTTTCGTGAATGACCATACCTGCTCTGGCAGTTGTTGCTGTGTTGTTTTTAATTTGGAAACCATTTTACAAATAGGCAAGCTCCTCATGGTAGCCATTTTGTGAGAGCATTCACAACATGCTCTCAAAATTTCAAGATAATGTGCAGAATTATAAGAATGATAAATCAGTCCAGAAAGACTTGATTTGCTTAGAATTTTGAATCAACTTAGGTTTCCTTACCATATTGGAGCACGCGCTTGCAAACGTCATAAACTTGGGGTTGAATTGCAAGCAGGTAATGGGTCCTGTGTGTTTCCCATCAAGCACTGCTACCTTCATTCCAGTCTCTCCATTCCAGACATGAATCTTCCCATCCTCTGATCCTGCAGTTGGATTACCCAGTATCAGTATCAACCAGAATCAACAGAATCAGGACTGATTTATCAAACAACTCAAGTAAACAGCAATAAACAAAACATTGCAGCACAAATGAAACATCACATAAACATTAGACACTCCCATCCCCAAAAGGTACAAACTACTTGGACACTTTATGGAAGTGGCCTTGAAATTATTTTAAATAATTGGTGCTGTATATACAGAGGAAAGATAACTCTCTTACCAATCATTATAAACTGAGAATCTGGGGTGAACGAAGCTTCCAATGTGACAGCTTTGCTGTTGTTATATCCCTGTAAAAAGAATAAGACTGGTGAGCATAAATATAACAGAAAAGCTAAACCTTGATTCAAACAAAGAAATGGCTTGCAAAGCCAGGGTGCCCAAGAAACCCCTTCCAACCATTGTCCTTGCCATTTCAGGGGAGAAGCAGATGAAAAGTCCACTGAAAGCCTTTAAACAGGTTTACCATAAGAAAAATATCTACCACCAGTGAGGGAGAAAAGTGGGGGGAAAATCACACTCTTGCCCATTCACATAATGGACCTCATTCTCCTTAAAATACTGCATGCACCCCTGCCATCACAAGGTTATCCACTCCTACTCTAAAATATTCAGTTCTTCAACAATCTTAGCACAAAATAATGATTCTGGGAATAACAATGGCAATTAGATAAACTACATATGTGTAAGAAGGATGCCTCAACTATAGGATTAGTCTTGGAAAGATTTGGATCTGTGTAAACCTGGGGTAAGAGATTGTGGCTGATAACACAATAAGAAAGCCATCAATCAGCAGAGTAGCAGGTAATGATAATGGTGATGATCATCATTTTATCCTGCCCTTTTTTTATATTTTGATCATCTGAGGGTGGCAAATGTACCTAATACTCCTGCCTCCTATTTCCCTCACAACAATAACCCTGTGAAGTGGATTGGGTTAAGAGAGAGTGACTGGCCCAAAGTCACCCATCTGGCTTTCATGACTAAGGGAGGCCTAGAACTCACATTCTACTGGTTTCTAGGCCAGCGCCTTAACCACTATACCAAACTGGCTCTCAAATTAAGCCATAACCGGTGGAAAGAAATTCTGAATGGCATTACAAAGACATCATTTATAATTTCCCTTAGGAAAATTTAGGAATCAAAGAGTGGAACAATTGTTACCATCTTTGGACAATTTAAAAATCCAGGATGGACAGGATTTTTTTTCGTCTCATGACTAATGACAATGGATACTGGTAGCTATGAATGGCTGTGAAATTTAGAATAATTTATTCCTTAAATCCATAGGCTGAAAAGAGTGTAAGTGGATGGGAGGATGCTAAAACACAATCTAAAGTATGGTTTTATAAAGCGCTTATTACTTTATCAATTATCTTTTCACTGGCTATTGTTCCTTATCACTTAATCTATTTCAATTACAGGGTTACTCCCAGGTATTCCTCTTTAATGGCTCAGTCTTATACAAGGGATGCAGCATCAAACCTCACTATTAATAAAAAGAGGTTACCAAAAATAACCTGATGGATTAAGTCCCCTCATTTCCAGCTAAAAAAGTGCCTTCTACTGAAGTGCTAACCCCTCAATATTCTACAAATCTTGCCCTAATTCTAAAGATCATCCAAAACAAAGAACCTATCTGGAGATATAGAAATATCCTTACCGTAAATGTATGAAGAACCGCTCCTTTAAAGGCATCAATGAGTCGTATGATGCCTCCGTTAGTTGAAATAAGAACAAGCTTTCCATCATTGCTGAACTTCAGACCAGTCCACTCACAGGTTCGGTCATATTGCATCTTAAAGGTAGCAAACGGACCCTTCAAGAAAGAAAGCCAGAGGATGACATGCAGCAAAACTGTTCCAGATGCTCAGCTTCTGTGCAAAGAATGCTGGGCTAGGCAGACCTTGTCCGACTTGAGGAGGAATTTTCATTTTCTTAGGCCAAAGAACATGCCAAGGATACCTAGACATTCTGAATTCAAAGTTTTGCTTTTATATGTTTGAATATTAAATCTATGGATCCCAGGGATTCCATCTCAGAAAAGATGCCACACTTAAAAATCTTATGAGGAGCTTGCATCTGAACATTACATACTACATACCTTATCAAAAGAGCGAAGATCATAAAGTTTCACCATTTCGGAATTGACCCCAGCTGCAAAAATCAGTCCCTCTGGATCAAATGAGCATACAGGTTTTCCTTGTGGATGCATCAGACCCTAGATTTTGAATACATATACATATATATATATATATATATATATATATATATATACACACACACACACACACACA